GAGTAAATTCAGGTGTGAGTTGTGTACTGTTATTCAAATAACACGGAGACATTCAGGCTATCCGATCAGTGCCATAAACGCAGTGGTTGCGACTGCTCTGGTCCATCTGTTCACTTTTGCCTAATTGTGCCTTGGTAAAAGATGTGGGGATTGGGGATTGTTACTTGACAGTATAATTATTCAATCTGCCGTTTGCAGAGATAGGTACGAATATTATCGACGAATAGGAACGGCGAAAAGGGGAAGATCCTTTGGGCGATCTAAAACAATATGCACAAGTCACTGAGATTTACCATTCGGAGCTCTGAATGGAAAGAAAACGGAGAGACAAGTCACAATGGCCACTGGCAGCTAACAAGAAGCGGCCCGACGTCTTAGTATATGGCGTTGATCAAACCAGAAGCTTACGTAGGTTATCATTTTGCTTCGCCAGGTATCAATGGAAAGCCTGAAAAAGCGCAGGTATCGATAAATGGTAATACAGCGCCATTGGGAGTTCAATTGGCCAAGTTGTTCACGCGACGGAGGCTTTGGAAGGAAAATAATCAGCTAGTGAAGTGCAAGAGCGGATGATGCGCAGAAACCTGCCTAATATTAAGATACTGAGATCCGATGTGTTTTTCCCCTCCTTTCTTACATGAGAGCTTAGGAAGGTTGGGAAGGAAGGATCAGGAACAGGTAATGGAGGTTGAACGAGTTCCCAAAGTAGGTTGAACCCTTCGCTGTAACTTGAGCCGGACCTAGCTAGAAGGAGGGCTTGCGACGGGTAGGGAGGGGGGAGAAGGGGCTAAAGGGTTTTAGGGTTAGCGCAGTTGTTTGATTTCGCTCCTGAAAAAGTTGATGGTCGACGATGAAGGCAGGAGAGGGGGAGGGAGGCAGCGGCGCCGCCATCATTGCGGGGCGTCAGGGGATTTAAAGGGGAAGGGAAGCGAGCGATGAAAACTCTATTCAGAAAATGGCGGCGTTATGTCGTAAAGCAAACCTTTGCTAAAGTTCCATATTTTTCACTTCCCCACGTGCCTTTTCTTGATCTGCTTTATTTTTCTCCCTACGTTTGCGTTTCATCAACTTGTGTCATTCTTTATTGTTTTCCCCTTTATTCATGATTCCCTCATTTTCGCCGGCTCCCGCAGTATGGGTCTTTGTTTGATTTCAACCCTCCATTTAGCTCGACAGCTTTGCTTCATTTGCATCCCTGCCTGACTTGTAATTGTCATCCGTTTCGCCTAATTTCTTCCTCGACGCCACCCTTCCCCCACCCACTTCATCAGGCGGTGCCCCCCTCCTGCCTCGCCGTAGGGGTCGCCGCGCCCCCGCCTCGCCGTAGCCGCCTCCCCGCGGCTTCCACAATGGCGAGGTGGCGCCCCCCGCGGTCCGCCCTCTTCTCTGGGACACGCGATCATTATCGAGTGTGTAAAAGGGGTCGTCCAAAGGGCCTTCGAAAGTGCAGGCTCCATGATCCAAGTGTCCCGGCAACAAAGGCCAGCGGCGGAAGTGGTGCGATTTCTCACAGATTTTTCCTCGTCTTTGACGCGCATATTTGTTCTTGTTGATGCCTCCGCAGCCCCGTCTCTTGAGTAGGTGAAAATTAAGAACTAATAAACAGTTTTGATTACAAGCGTCTTTTAGTAGATCTGAACATCAAATGGAATGATCCTTTGGCATCTGAGTTGTGCGCTTGTCTTGTGTTTATTTCTTGTCACAGGTTTCTCATGTTCACACAGACACAGTGAAATCATGTCCCGTTAATTAATGATTTGTGTCATTTGCATTCTAATGACCGAATTGCCGCGGTTGAGCTTCGAAAGTAGTGTGTTTATTTTCCGGGAACTTACCATTATTTACCAGAATTGACAAATGTTAAATGATAATATATATACAAAAATTAAATATAAACTCCGTGATACAAGATACGGAGAGTTGCGCAGTCGTGACTGTATGTACTGGCATAAACTATTCTGTAATTGAAAGATAAGCAGCGCACCTAAAGGTGGTCTCAGATAGACCGAAGCAAGAATTAAGCTTTATATTTGAATGTATATCTTTTTCCTGTTGTACGCCTTTCCTGCCTTGCACCGCGACGTTTAGGTCAATCCCGAGTCAATAATCCCGGGCGCACATGCCCTCGCCACGCCCACACGCACTCACTGCGAGTGTGTGATTTTTCTGCACGATTGCACCGCTGATGAAGTCAGAGATAGGCGAGATAAGGCGAGATGGAGCGAGATGGGGATTCGGGGGCGGCACACCCTCGCTCGCCCCCGCCGGCGCGCTAAATGGTTGCCACTCCAGCTGACGTGCAACGGGGAAGGAGTGAGCTTATGAATTTTCTTTCTTTCGTCATTTATGCTTTTATTTTTTTGCTCCTCTGATTTCACATTATCTTATCTCCCTTGCCATTTTCCTAGATATTGCCTGTGAATTTGACAAACAGTATAATTCAGCATAAACTAGCATAGTAAATTTCACCGAGTAATATGGGATGGTATCAACAATAATGGTGATGTTGTTAGCATTATCTAGAGTATTATTATCATTACCATTACATTTACTGTCGTTGTTGTTATTATTATTATTATCATCATTGTTGCTGTTGTTGTTGTTGTTGCTGTTGTTGTTGTTGTTGTTGTTGTTATTGTTATTAGTATTGTTATTATTGATATTATTGTTATTATCATTATTATTAAATTCCTGATGTCCTTTTCATGCCCCGCAAAACAGCACGCGGTCACGAGGGCTGTGTTTAGACAGACGATAAGATAACGACATTGTTAATACAGATAGTCATTAGCGGTCAGGTATGGTAATTAGCGGCTGCGCAGGACTGATTAGCGGCGCCAGAGTTGTCTCCCCGACGAGCCACAGAGGTTGATCCGGGATTTACCTGGGAGCTTGGAATATTAAAAGCTGATTATCCCCCCCCCCTCGTCTTCCACCTACTGATCCCCCTCCCCCTCTCTCAGGTGATCATCCCTCTTCCTCCTTCTCTCCTTCCATATTTGTTTTCTTTTTTTCATACTGACTCCACATTTCCTCTCAATCACATCCCGTTTCCTCTTCTCTCCTCCCCTCCTCTCTTCTCACCGCTCCCCCTCCCCTCGCCGCCCCCCCCTCCCCTCCCCTCTTTCCCTCTCGCTCTCACTACTAACAACCCGAAACCGCTGCCTCCGCCCGGCGCCCGAATCACCTTTCGTCTCCCGCGGCGCCCTCGGCAGGGCACAGCACGGCTCGGGGATTATCACTGCGTTAGATGCGACCTTGCGATAACCCTCATTTCCTCCCCTCCTCCTCTCCTCCCCGTCTCCCTCTCCTCCTCCTCCTACTCATCGTCCCTCCTCCTGCTCCTTTTCCCTCCTCCTACTCCTCTTCCCTCCTCTTCCCTCCTCTTCCCTCCTCTTCCCTCCTCCTACTCCTCTTCCCTCCTCTTCCCTCCTCTTCCCTCCTCTTCCCTCCTCTTCCCTCCTCCTACTCCTCTTCCCTCCTCTTCCCTCCTCCTACTCATCTTCCCTCCTCCTACTCCTCTTCCCTCCTCTTCCCTCCTCTTCCCTCCTCTTCCCTCCTCCTACTCCTCTTCCCTCCTCTTCCCTCCTCTTCCCTCCTCTTCCCTCCTCTTCCCTCCTCCTACTCCTCTTCCCTCCTCTTCCCTCCTCCTACTCCTCTTCCCTCCTCCTACTCCTCTTCCCTCCTCCTACTCCTCTTCCCTCCTCTTCCCTCCTCTTCCCTCCTCCTACTCCTCTTCCCTCCTCCTACTCCTCTTCCCTCCTCCTACTCCTCTTCCCTCCTCCTACTCCTCTTCCCTCCTCTTCCTTCCTCTTCCCCCTCCGCCCCCTCCCCCCCTCCTCATTCTCACCCTCATCCTCCCCTCCTCCATCTCCTCCTCTCCTTCTTCTTCTCCTTCTTCTTCTCCTTCTTCTCCTTCTTCTTCTCCTTCTCCTCCTCCTCCTCCTCCTCCTCCTCCTCCTCCTCCCCCCCCTCCTCCTCTCCTCCTTCTCCTCCTCCTCCTCCCCCTCCTCCTCTTCCCTCCTCCTCCTCCTCCCTCCTCCTCCCCTCCTCCTTCTCCTCCTCTACCTCCTCCTCCTCCTCCTCCTCTTCCCTCCTGCTCCTCCTCCTCCTCCCTTCTCCTCCTTCTCCTCCTCCTCCTCCTCCTCCTCCTCTTCCCTTCTATACTTTCCTCTTCCATCCTCTTCCATCCTCCTGTACCTCCTCCTCCTCCTTCTTCCCTCCTCCTCCTCCTCTTCCTCCTCCTCCTCCTCCTCCTCCTCCTCCTCCTCCTCCTCCTCCTCCTCCTCCTCTTCCCTCCTCTTCTTTCCTCTTCTTTCCTCTTCCATCCTCTTCCATCCTCCGCTACCTCCTCCTCCTCCTCCTCCTCCTCTACCTCCTATTCTTCCTCCCTCCTTTTTTTTCTCCTCCTCCTCCTCCTCCTCCTCCTCCTCCTCCTCCTCCTCCTCCTCCTTCCTCTACTTCCTCCTCCTCTTCCTTCTCCCTCCCTCCTCCCCCTGATCCCCTTCTGATTCTCTTTCTCCTGATCCTCCACCTGCTTCTCCCAGTTTTTCATTACATCGAATATTCACGCAACAGGAAGTTTAAATATCCATCAGTGATTTATATTTCAGCTTACCAACGTCAGGAAACAGGAGAGTGAAGGAAAAGTGAGGGAGGGGGTGTTGGGGAGGGAGGGGGTGTTGGGGAGGGAGGGGGTGTTGGGGAGGGAGGGAAGTTAAGTCAGGAATGTATAATAGATAAGTAACACCTCCGTTTGAG